GAAAGCAGCATCTTTCCCAAAGGCCAGGCCCACTGTGGCTGGAGCGTGGGGCAGGGCTGTGTGCCGGGTGAAGCCACACTCGCCCAGCGTCTTTCCGTCCTCCAGGAGCTGGTCGTTCTTGTAGAGCCTCTGCTGTTCAGGCGGACGCTGCAGGAGGCCCTCCACCATGAGCTTCAGCTCCAGCACGGTGCTGGACTCCTGAGCTTCGACGAAGATTGTGGTCTTGTGGCGCCGAATCATGAGATACACGGACAGGGCAGAGGCCTGGCTGGACTCGTCTTTGCAGTCACACTCTGGCTCTGCAGGTCTGGGTGGCCTGGAGCATGCTTCCGGGTCCATGGCTTCTCAGGTTGAGTCCAGAAGTGTGCTGGGATGGACGGGCCTCGGGTGAAATGTCCTTCAGCAGAGTCCTACCCACAGCTGGAGGAGCTGAGATCAGAGATCCAACAGCCAGCTATAGCACAAGGGAATCCTGACCTTTTTATACTCTGTGAAGGGGAGGAGCCTCTGAGATTATCGGATTAGGGAAGGCACTAGATTGGATCGAAGGTGTGGCTAATCCCTTCTACAGAGGGAGCCTGGGTGGTCTGACACCAGGAATTTGGTATGTAGTCAAGGCTGGCCACCAACTTGCTGAGATCCTCCTGCTGTTGTGTACAGGCATACACAGACACACTCCGATCTTTCATACTTCTTGTTTTTTGGTTTTTGTGGGTTTTTTTTTAGGTCTTTTGAGACACAGACTTTCTGTAGTCCCAGCTCGTTTGGAACTCACTAGGTAGACAAGGATGGCCTCCAACTCACAGAGAGCCTCCTACCTTTGCCTACTGAGTGCTAGGATTAAAGGTGTGGGCTAATACACCTGCACCCATTCTTTCGATTTTAAGACAGACGCTCCTGAAGTTGAGCAGGCAGGCCTTGAACTTGGGACACTCCTACTTCAGCCTCTGTAGTCACTGGGATTACATGTCTTGCAGATCAGACCCTTGATTTCTTTTTTTTTCTGAGATAGGATCAAAAGCTATATAGCACAGGCTAGCCTTGAACTCTCAGCCCCAGCTATCCACGTGCTAAGATTATGTTCCTGTGCTAACATTCCTTGATCACTGTGCCAGTTGCAATTTGTATCAGCTCACCATCTTCCACCCTGGACCTACACCGTTCTCTTTAATATCATGATTTTTTTTTTTTTGAGATTGTGATTGTGAATATAAGCAATGATTTTCTGGAAGAGCTGACCTAGTTGAACTCAGAGTCCCTCCATGAACCTGGACCTAGCTCCATTTGGTCATTGTTCTTCCAGTAGTTAGGTTTTTATTTATTGATTGATTGATAAAGAAGCTAGCCCACAGTGGGTTTGAGCTACCCACCCAACAACTACCCACCCTGAACTTCTGCTCCTCCAGTCTCCACCTCCTGGGAGCTCAGATTACAGTCATACATCATACCTGGGGCTTTGAGTCCATGCTAGTTAGCAACTCTTCATGGAGGAGAACGATCTAGGTTACTCTTTTTTTTTTTTTTTTTTTTTTTTTTTTTTTTTTTTCCATTTTTTTTTTCTTCTTTTCTTAGGGTTTTTTTTTTTTGTAGATTAAAAAGAATTTTTTAATTGAATGTGTATGAGTGTATTTCTTGTATGTGTGTAAGTGTACAGGTGTCCTGCATGCCAGCCGAGGTCAAAGAGGATGTCGGATCCCTTGGAACTGGAGTTACAAATGGTTGTTAGCCGCCATGTGGATGCTGGAGATCAAACTCAGGGCCTCACACTTACTAGGCAATGGTAAATAAATAGAGCAATTAGCTCTGGATTAGGTGAGGGAGAGACAGGGATGACTCACTTGCCAGGGATTACTATGAATGCCATAGGCTGATGGAAAAACAAAGGTAATTGTAAAATGGTGACCAGTGGAGATCCAAGGTAGAATTAAACACAATGGGAACATGGAGAGACTCACACCTGAGAGCAGGGGAGGGAATGTGAAAAACGCGGCTGTATATTGTATTACATTTTAACTTACTTTAATCTTTAAAAAATTTAAAAAATATTTTATTTTCACTTTATGTGTATGAGTGTTTTGCCTGCGTGTATGTATGTGCACCACACACATGCATTGCCTACAGAGGCCAGGAGAGGGTGTGGGATCCCATGGTGTAGATCTGGAGGTTGCTAGCACCATATGGGTGCTGGGAACCAAACCCAGGACCTCTGAAAGAGCAGTCAAGACTATTAACCACTGAGCCATCTCTCCAGCCCCAACATTTTAATTTAATGTGTGTGTGTGTATGTGTGTGTGTGTGTGTGTGTGTGTGTGTGCATGTGTTATGCCATAGAGCTTGTGGAAATCAGAGGACAGCTTGCAAGTTGCAAGGACATGTGTGTCTAAGGGACTAGAAGTTAGGCAAACTCCCTAACAGACAGATGGGGAAAGAGCACTGATATGTAACAAAGATGGCAAACTTCTGGCCTCTTCTTGAGACAAAGGCCTGGGAGCTCCTTCTCTGGCCAGCAGGGGCTTTCTTCTGACCGAAGGATCCAGACCTGTTTAGATTTGCTCAAGGCCAGACCTAGATAGTCTCACTTGGAGTTGTGAACCTATCAGCCCTCTCTTCTTAGTTAAATTGACCAATCCAGCTGGGAGGGGGGGTGCATGCCTTTAATCTGCAGGCCAATCTCTGTAAATTCAAGGCCAGCACCTGGCCTATATAGTGATAGTGAGTTCCAGGCCAGCTAGGGCTACAGGGAGACCCTGTCTCTTTTTTAAAAAAAAAAAAAAAAAAAAAAAAAAAAAAAAAAAAAACTTGTCAGAAATTTGGGCAGGCAAGATGGTTTAGCAGGTAAAGACACTTGCTGTGTGTATGTATGTTTATTTTCAATAGTTTGTTGCCTGCTATGTCTGAAATTCTTCCTGCCTTTTAATTCTTTAATTGGCTGAGAAAACTAACCAGATCAAGACCCCTACACAGTAATGGGTCCTGGGATCAGATTGTCAGTCTTGGTGTCAGGTGCCTTTACCTACTGAGCTATCATGCTGGTCACGAGTTCTTTCTTTATTAGAACACTTAAGAGCCATATGTGTTGGGAACACACCTGTAATCACAGTACTTGGGAAGCAGAGGCAGAAGCTTAAAGCAAGTCTGTGGCCAGTCTGATTTCTATAGTAACTTTCAGGTCATCCAAGGTTATATAGTGAGACATTGTCTCAAAAAATACAAAAGGAAAACCAAAGAATCCCAAACAGCCAAGTTCCTTGAACTGTTTCTTAGTTTTGTTTTGCTGTAGCACACCCTAGCCTCCCCTTCATTAGATTGCTAAAGATGGTCTTGAACTCCTGATCCTCCTGTCTCCACCTACCAAGTGCTGGGATTTTTAGGCTTTCACCACCATGCCCAGCTTTTCCATGTACTTTTTTGTTTGTTTTTGTGAAAGTGTCTCCCCGAACTCACTATGTAGGTCAGGGTGACCTTGCTCTCACAGAGATTGGGCTGCTTCTGCCTTCCAAGTGCTGGTGCCTGAGACACCATACCCGGTTTCCACGTACTATTTACAATTGAGGAAAATCCAAGACCACATAGTAAATAGGAAACGATGATTTTGAACCTTCATTTTCTGACTTCACAGAACATTAACATTTTATTAACACACATCTTGGGAGAGCCAGGGGTGTGTCTTTTCTGCTTCAGGGCAGGCCCTGCCAGAAAACCCCTGTGGGTTGTTCACAGGTGAAAGTGAGGGGGTATCTCTCCTGGAGGGGCCATCACCTCTCTAGCACCTCTCCTCTGAAACTTTGGCCAGCTCTTTCTGGGCTCCCTTGGGCTCCGTTTTTAAGATTTTATTTATTTTATTAAAAATTTTAATTTATGAGTGTTATGCAAGCATGTATGCAAGTGCGCCCCGGGTGTGCAGGAAGACAGAAGAGGAACCGGAGTTATAGGCGTTGTTAGCTGCCATGTGCCTGCTGGGAATGAAACCCGAGTTTTCTGCAAGAGCAGTCATTGCTAGTAATGTTGAGCCATCTCTCCAGCCCCTAGATTTCTTTTTAAAGTGTTTTACATTTATGTGTTTGAGTGTATAGTCCGTGTATGTAAGTGCACCAGTGTCATGCAACATCTGAAAGGTCAGAGGGAAGGCATCAGATTCCCTTGGAACTGGAGTTATGGACGGTTGTTAGCCACCATGTGGGTGCTGGCCATGTGGGTGCTGGGAATCAAACGCAGGTCCTCTGCAAGAGCAGCCTGTGCTCTTAACCGCCGAGCCATCTCTCCAGCCCCCTTATTTTTATGTGTGTCTGTGGGTTACGTGCACATGAGTGCAAGTGCCAGCAGACACCAGAGGCAGGTTGTGAGCCATAGAATGTGGGTGCTGGGACCGAACTCCCGGGCCTCTGGAAGAGCAGGACACATTCTTAACCACTGACCATGGAGGTCACTCTTAATTATTCTCAATTTCCCCTTCTTTCAGAGAGGGCTAGGCAGACCCTCCTACTCCGATGACAGGGTTTCCTTCTCTGGCTGGCCACCCGGTTCAGACTAAAGGGTGGCAGGCAAATTCGAATCCAGCCCTGCCAAGGCCATGGGCCGGTCTGGTAGTCCGGGGACGCTCCATAGCAACCCCAAACACCACAACCAACTCCTCCAACTCTCGCGAGAGACACGGAGACGCACGACCCGTCCCCCGCCCCCGCCCCCCGCCCCCCGCCAACCCACGGCACAGAGGAGGCGGGGAGAGGGCGGGACCTCAGGTGGAAGTGGGCGGAGCCCGAGAGCTTCCGAGGTCCGGGTTGAGAGCCCGTCTCTTCAGGCGGCTCCCCCGCGTGACTGCGCTTTACATAATCGCGGCCTTGAACGTCACAGTGGCGTCCTCCAACCCGGACCGAATCAGAGAGGCTGGGAGCTCCACGCTCCGCCCCTTCCCGTTTGACGGACGTCGCCGCGAGCCAGCGAACGGGCGTCCAGACGCGTAGGGCCCGCCCCCTTCGGCCGCGACCCGCCCGCGCCCGCCCGCCCTTCGCAGCCCGCGGCGGCCGCCAGGTTGTTCCTCAGACTGTCAGATAAAGCAGCGGCCCGGCCAGTGGGGCGGCGGAGAGCACGGCCCGGGCCGGACATGGCGGCTCTCTACGCCTGCACCAAGTGCCACCAGCGCTTCCCCTTCGAGGCGCTGTCTCAGGGGCAGCAGCTGTGCAAGGTGTGCGGGCTGGGGCGGCGGCCGGGACCTGGGGACGCGGCGGGCGCGGCCCGGAGCTCTGGGCGGGGCACGGACACCCGCCGGGGTCCCCTCAGGCAGGGTGTGGCCGGCCAGCCTAGCCGACCAGTAGCTCTGGGACTGCAGGGCACGTGGGAGAGTCCCAGGCCGAATCCGGGTCCCCGTGGCCGGCGTGTCCCGGTGCTTAGCAACCGCCGGGGCTGCTGCTCGGACCCCGGGAAGCCGGAGGAGGGGCACGGCGGGGGCGCTCCTTACTCCTGGCTGCACCCCCATTTCCGGGGACCCCCCCCCCCCGCTTGGCCTGCCTTCCTTCTCGTCCCGGGTGCAGAATGAGGGACCCCTTGTCCCGCCTGGGATCGAACCTCACAGTTGAGTGCTACCTGGAGAGTGTCTCAAACTCAGACACTTCGCAGGAACTTTGCAGCTAATCTCAGAGTGGGAGGTGTCCGGGCTTCATCAGGGAAAAAGCAAAAAGTCCCCAGTGCAGCCTTGTAGCGCACCAATCGAACAGATGACTTTCTCGCTTCTAGTTGATACCCGTCTGTTCTTGCCCTAAGCAATTTTTACCCCTGAAATTCCAACGTTTTCGTTTGTTCTTTCACCCCACTTTGCCTTTTTAAGGGAATAGAGGTGTATACCACAGTTCAAAGTCACAGAGCTCAATAATTGGTGGTGGTGTAGTCTCAGCCAACTCTGTGTTTGATTTGAGTAGGTGTCGCTTGCCTCAGATGGTCATGGCTTGCCTTTTGCCACCCTTGTTTACTGTGTCTGGAAGAATGAAAGCGCTTGAGTGCCCTTTTTGACTTAGAAACCGTGTGTGTGTGTGTTTTAAAGAACGTTTTATAAATAAAATCAGCGTTTATTAGCCTTAATTTCACAAATACAACTTGCTCAGAATCAAACAGCAGCACAAGAACCCGCTGTAGAATCCAGAGCTTCTGATTTCCAATCTGGGGCTTATTCATACATATGTTTGTTTTACAATTTCTGACTAGTTCCATACAAATTCTTACTCCCACATCCACAGCTGGGAAGTGATGCCGATATTACAGCGGAGGAAAATGAGGCCCAGAAAGTTAAGTGACTCACCCGTAGTGGCTATGCTAGGAATAGTACCCTGGTCTTCTGCTTCCTACTGAAGCTGTTTGCATTCGAGAGTGCCTTTTTATATTATATCCTCATTTCCTTGCAGGAATGTCGGATTGCTCACCCTGTTGTGAAGTGCACCTACTGCAGGACCGAATACCAGCAGGAGAGGTAGTTTTGTTGTTTGATTTTATCTTTTTTAATCTTTTTTAAAAATTTATTATTTGTATGTGTATGAGTGTATTTCCTGCATGTATGTAAGTGCACCCATGTCGTGCAGTGCCTCGGAGGTCAGAAGAGGGCGTTAGATTCCCCTGGAACTGGAGTCAAGGATGGTTTAAAGCTGCCATGTGGGTGCTGGGAATCGAACCCAGGTCCTCTGCAAGAGCAGTCAGTGCTTTTAACCGCTGAGCCATCTCTCCAGCCCCTGTTTTTATCTTTTTGAGACAGGGTCCCACACTCTAGCCCAGGCTAGTCTTGAACCTGAGAGCAGTCTTGCTTCAGTCTGTCCAGTGCTAAGATTACAGGTATGAGCCACCACACTTGCTGTGGAAGATGCAGATAGACTTGGGCAAGGTGGCAAACACAATTTCAGCACTTCAGAGACAGACTCTGGTGAGTCTCCATGAGTTCGAGGCCAACCTAGTTTATATAGTGAGACCTTGTCTCAAAAAAAGAATCTGTGGCCAGAGAGTTGGCGCAGTAGTTAAGAGCACTGGCTGCTCTTGCAGAGGACCTTGGTTCAGATCCCAGTGCCCACATTCCCAGTTCCAAGGGATCTGACACCCTCCTGGCCTCCAAGAAATTGCATGACTTTTTTTCTGAAGTTTCTGCTTGAAGATTTTATACAAATAGAGCTGCCATCAGTTGCATTATAACATATAGATTTGTACTAAATTACATTATACATAGATTTTGCAATGTCCTGTTATACCGAAGAGTATGTACATTATATATATGTTATTTCCTGTATATTACACATTGGTTGCTTAATTTTTTTGTGGGGGTGGTCTTTTTGAGACAGGGCCTCCCTGTTCCAGCTGGCCTGGAACTCACTATGTAGACCAGGCTGGCCTTGAACTTATAGAGATCCACCTTCCATCAGCTTCCCGAGTGCTGGGATTAAAGGCGTGTGCCACCATGCCCAGCCTGTATTTTATTATTTTTATTTTATGTGTATGAGTGTATTGCCTTCATGTAGGTAAGTGCACCCATGTCGTGCAATGCCCCCAAGGACACAAGAGGCCATTGGATCCCCTGGAATTGGAGTTTCGGACAGTTGTTAGCTGTCATGTGGGTGCTGGGATTCCAACCCCGGGTCTTCTGTAAGAACAACCAGTGTTCTTAACCACTGAGCCATCTCTCTAGCCCCGGTTCCTTAAATTTTTATTTTTGCCTTTAGTGCTGGTGATGGAACCCAAGACTTCAAGCATACTAAACACATGCTCTACTGCTGAGCTACATCCTGATTGTTAAAAACAAACAAACAAACAAAAAAAAACCCTAAACAAATCATAATCACAATATAAAATTATCAAGGGATTGAAAAATAAGTGACAGGATTATAGGGTTTCATCACCCTGCTCAGCTGGAAAATTTAAGAAAAAAAAATTTTTTTTGAGACAGGGTCTCACTGTGTTGCCCTGACTCATTTGAAACTTACTAGACCAAGCTGGCCTAGAACACAGAGATCTGACTGCATTTGCCTCCCTAATGCTGGGGTTAGAGGCATGTGTTACCAGGCCCAGCTTCAAAAATAATGTTTGTGGTTTTTGTGGTGGTTATATCGGGGTTCAAGACCATCCTTTCCTATTTAGTGAATTTGAGGCTAACCTGTGTTACATGAGACTGTCTAAAAAAACCAAAAGAGGAAAATGAATCATAATAGAAATAACTCACTCTTCATTTTAACTAAAACTTCGTTATTTGAAATAACAAAATTAATAGTTGCATAATTGAGTTACTGGCCAAACTACTCAAACTTTAATTAACCAAATGTCCAGATCATATTTTACCTGATCCCTTAGCAGTGAACAAATTCCTTAAACTTAATAAGTTTTCAGATGTTCTAACTCTTGTATTTAATTTTTTCTTCAACAGTAAAACCAATACAATATGCAAGAAATGTGCTCAGAATGTGCAGTTGTATGGAACAGTAAGTAGGATTTCTCTGCACCTAGGTCCTGACTGAGCCTGCCTTTTTTTTCTTCTCTTCCCCTTCCCCTTCCCTTTCCTTTTTTCCCCCTCTTCCATTCCTTTTTGTTATTATTGTCTGTTTAATATTGTCTTCGTTATTTTTATTTTTTGTGTATGAGTGTATTGCCTGCATGTATGTAAGTGCACCTGTGTTGTGCCATGCCCTCCGAGATCAGAAGAGGGTGTTGGATCCCCTGGAACTGGAGTTACAGACAGTTGTTAGCTGTCATGTGGGTGCTATGATTCAAACTCAGTCCTCTGTAAGAGCAGCCAGTGCTCGTAACTGCTGAACCATCTTTCCAGCCCGTTTTTGAGTTTTAAAAGATACTTGTTGGCTAATTTGTGTGAGTGTACTTGAGTGAGTGTGCTTACACACAGACATACCACAGCATACATGTGGAGGTCAGAGGACAACTTTTTCACTGGCTCTGTTTTTTGTTTTTGAGACAGTGTTTCATGTAGTCCAGACTGGTCTCAAACTCACTGTGTAGCTGAGACTGGCCTTTAAATCCGATTCTTGTGCTTTTACTTTCTAAGTGTTGGGATTACAGTGTGTGCCACCATACTCCACTTCGTTTGTTTGTCTTTGAGACAGGGTTACCCAGTAGCCCCAACTGACCTGGAGCTTGCTTTGTAGGCCAGGCTGACTTTGATCTCACAGAGATACACCTGCCTCTACCTCTTAAGAGTGCTGAGGTTAAAGATGTGTATCACCTTGCCCTGCAAAGTTGGGGTTTATTGAAAAGGGATTTTTAATCTAGAGTCAAACACATGGTGTTAGTTGAAAGAGCATGCTCAGGAATCAGACATGCAGGTGCAGACATGGGTTTTTCAAATGAGAGTTGCCCTTTGTCCCCCTTAATTCGAGAGACTGAGCTAGGGCCTCAAGCATGCTAGGCAAGCACCCCTCTACCAGTGAGCTACAGAACATTTTCATGAGATATAATGTAGCTAGTGTTTTCTGCTCTCAGACTTACTCAATACCTTGTTATGGATTTCTGTGTTTATAGTTACTGCCAGGATTATGATTGTTATTTTCTTGCATGATGAATCCTATGACTTCATCTTTTTCCTGTAACTGTTGTTTTTGGGGCTTCTGTTTCTTTGTGTGTTATTTTGAGATAGGATCTTGAAATGTAGATGAGCCTGACCTGTCTTGCAGCTCACTGTGTAACCCAAATAACCTTTAAATTCTCGGTGATCCTCCTGCCTTAGTCTACTCAGAAGATGTGCTACCACATCTGACTTTTGGCTATTTATTATCATTATTATTATTTTAATTATTATTATTTTTTGAGACAGAAACTCACTGTGTAGCCCTGGCTGGCCTGGAACTCACAGAGATCCCTCTGCCTCTGTCTCCCAAATTCTGGGATTAAAGGTGTATTTTACCATGCCCAGCCTACTTATTATTTTATTATATGTTTATTGTTAAAATAAAGAATATGTATTTTTTGTTACTTTTATATGTGTGTGTGCGCGCGTGCACACGCGCGCGTGCACACACAGCACTCATGGAGGTCAGAGAAAAATGTTGGGGAGTCAGTTCTCTCCTATCATGTGGGTCCTGGGACTTGAACTTAGGTCTTAGGCTTGGCAGCAAGTGCCTTTACCCTCTGAGTCTTCCCAGCCCTGTTTATTTTGGGAAGCAAAATTTTGCTACATAGTCTTAACTGGCCTGGAACTTGATACATTGCTTAGACTAGTCTTCAACTCTGAGATTCTTTTTGATTTTTTTTGAGACAGAATCTTCTTGTAGATACAGCTGGCCTGGAACTCACTCTATAGACTAGGCTGGCCTTGATCTCACAGAGATCTGCCTGCCTCTGCCTCCCTAGCCTTGATATTAAAGGCGTGTGCCACCGGACCAGCTAGCCTTGAACTCTGAGCCAACTCTCCTGCTGGGATTGTAGGAGTGTGTCATCACACCCAGCTTTGACTTCATTTTGGTGAATGATTTTTCTTTTCTCTCAGTTTTGGGGTTTGGGATATTGTGTCCTCGCAGGTACTCTCTCAACATGTTTGTATACTGGTAATAGATGTCTTTTCTCAAATTTGGAAGCATTTGCTGATTTCTCTAAAGCACTGGTTCCATTGGATTTTTCATTGAAGTCTCATCAAGAACATTAATGGGCTTTAGTTATTTGTTCATTTTGTTTTATTTAAAAATCGATAATCCTGTGCAGAAAAACACTTTAGTGTTAAGAAGTAGGCTTCATTTGATCAATGTAGAAGCAAATTTATGATGTTGGGAATATACTCTTGCCATGTCTCAGACTACACTGGAGGAATTATGACTGTAAAAAATGTATCTGTATTTTATGATATACTTACTTGATCTTTTTTTTTCCTATTCTTTAAGCCCAAGCCTTGTCAGTATTGCAACATAATTGCAGCTTTTATTGGCAATAAATGCCAGCGCTGCACAAATTCAGAGAAAAAGTATGGACCACCTTATTCCTGTGAGCAGTGTAAGCAGCAGTGCGCATTTGACAGGAAGGACGACAGGAAGAAGGTAAGCGTGTGCTCCTCCTCCTCTTCTTAAGAGAAATCAAAGTGGGCCAGATTAAGGTGAGCAGAATTCTGAGTTCCATTCTTGGCTGTTACTGACCTTGAAGAATGTAATTAGACTTTTCTTCATTTATCAAATGTAGACCATTATATTCTAACTTAAAAATATATTTCTTATTTTATTTATTTTGTGTGTGTGTGTGTGTGTGTGTGTGTGTGTGTGTATAGTTGGTTCTCTCCTTCCACTGTGTGAGTCCCAGGGATTGAACTCGGGTTATCAGTCTTGGTGGAAAGTGCCTTACCCTCTGAGCCATCTTACTGGCTGCACTTCTTCTTTAAATTACATTTTAACTTACTTTTTTTTTGGTCTTTTTGAGATAGTGTCTCCCTGTAGTCCACCTGGCCTAGAACTCACTATGTAGACTAGGCAGGCCTTGAATTCGCAGAGATTGGCCTGCCTCTGCCTCTGGAGTTCTGGGATTAAAGGCATGCACCACCATGCCCCGCTAATTTACTTATTTTTGTGTTCATTTATATCTGTGTGTGTATGTGTGTGTGTGCATATGCCATGGATGCACCTGTGGGAGGTCTGAGGACAACTTGTGGAAGTCAGTTCTTTCCTTCTACCATGTGGGACTTAGGTACTGGACTCAGGTCATCAGGTTTTCTAGCAGGCTCCTTTGTCCATTAAAGCATCTTGCAAGCCTCCAACATTTCTTAGGAATTCAAATTATTGGGGCTGGAGAGATGGCTCAGTGGTTGAGCACTGACTGCTCTTGCAGACAACCCGGGTTCAATTTGCAGCACCCACATGGCAGCTAACAATCATCTGTAACTCTGGTTCCAGGGGATCTGATGCCTTCTTCTGACCTCTGTAGGCATTGCATGACATAGGTGCACTTATATACAGGCAATACACTCATATACATAAAATAAAAATAATAAAGCAGGTGTGGTGGCACATGCCTTTAATCCCAGCACTTGGGAGGCAGGTGGATCTCTGTGAGTTCAAGGCCAGCCTGGTCTACATAGTGAGTTCCAGGCCAGCTAGTGCTACAGGGAGACCCTGTCTCAAAAAGACCAAAAAAATAAAAATAAAATTTTTTTTTTTTTTGCAAAAGAATTCATTTATTGTTGTGATCAATATCCCACATCAGTTGTAAATGAATGCTGGAGCCAGCCAAGAGTGAAAAATGTTTTGATTTTTGAGATAAGTGCTTAGCTCTGTAGTCTAGGCTGACCTGAAACTCACATTGTAGCCCAGGCTGGCTTAAACTTAGAGCATTCATCACACTTATGAATCACCAAGCCTGGATGCGTTTGGCTTATTGTTTTTTAATTACTTATTTTTATTTTATGTGTATGAGTATTATGCCTGCATGTAGGTAAGTGCACCCATGTCGTGCAGTGCTGGTAAAGTTCAGCAGGGGGTCTCGGATCCCCTGGAACTGGAGTTACAGACAGTTGTTAGCCCTATGTGGGTGTTGGATTTCAAACCCAGTTCTTCTAGTGTTCTTACCACTGAGCGGTTTCTCCAACCCCCATTTGGCTTACTTTTATTTTAATTTTTTTGTGACAGGGTCTTCCTGTAGCCCTAGCTGTCTTGGAATTCACTAGGTAGATCAAGCTGGCCCCAATCTCAGAGAGATCCACCTACCTCTGCCTCCCGAGTGCTGAGATTAAAGTACTTCGGAGGCAGAAATGGGTAGTGGTCTGTGAATTTGAGGCCCTATCTCCAGGGGGAAAAAGGACAGAGATCTGAGGGCCAGTGAAATGATGGGTAAGGTACTTACTGCCAAGCCTGAGAACCTGAATTCAGTCCCAGGACCTGATGGTGGCAGGAGATAACACTCCCACAAGTTGTCCTCACTTCTACGTGCATACTCTATGGTGCATGTGCTTACACACATACGTACAAACATAAATACTTATAATTGAAAAAAATTTAAAGAGCTAACGAGATGGCTCAGCAGGTAAAGAGCTTGTTGCACAAGTTTGAAGACTTGGGTTCAATGCCCAGGACCCCACATCAAGATGGAAGGAGAAAACCAACTCCACCATTGTCCTCTGATCTCCATGTGTGCCATGGCACACACGCCCACAGTCACACAATGATAATAATAATAATAATAATAATAATAATAATAAATTTTAAGCCCATTATCTCATTTTAAAAAAAAGAGGGAGTTCAAAAGTAGTGTCTGTGGTCCTGTGCAGTTTTCATATCAATGCTTGCTTTGTTTCAGTGAAATTGCCTTGTTTTCAGAGTTCTTTCCTTTGAAAAGTCTCCTGGAATGCTTTAAAAATCAGGCCTCCAGGCTGTGTCTTAACAACCATATCATGCACTAAAGTTTGCTTTCAAGTTTCATTTGTATATTTAACAAATAACTAAATGTTATAATGTACCAGACTCAGTTCTAGGTACTGGAACTATATAAACTAACCAAGCAAAACCTAGTCTTTCAGATCTTATATTCATGTATGAGAGGTGGGTAAGGAATAGACAAAAATAAACAAGGTTTTTTAAAACTTTTTAAAAATTTTATTTTATGTATATGCGTGTATTGCCTGGGTGTAGGTAAGTGCACCCGTGTCGTGCAATACCTGAGGAGGTCAGAAGAGGCTGTCGGATGCCCTGGGACTGGAGTTAGGGACAGTTGTTAGCTGCCATGAGGGTGCTGCAATTCGAACCCGGGTTTTCTGCAAGAACAACCAGTGTTCCTAACTGCTGAGCCATCTCTCCAGCCCCAAAATAAACAATTTTAAATATATATATTTTATTATTTTTATTTTATGTATATTTGAGTATTGCCTGCGTGTATGTGAGTGCACCTGTGTCGTGCAATGCCACGGAGGTCAGAAGAGGGCTTCGGATTACCCTGGAACTGGAGTTAAGTACGGTTTGTAGCCGCCATGTGGGTGCTAGGAATCGAACCTGAGTCCTCTGCAAGAGCAGTCAATGCTCTTAACTGCTGAGCCATCTCTCCAGCCCCCGAAAATAATTTTTAGGTGTAAATGCTACAAAGAACTAGAACACCTGGCAGGGAGTGCTTGGGGGGAGCCAGCTTAAATTGGGCATCAGGAGGAGATGATATTGGAGTTGAAACCAGAAGAAGAGGGTTACAGCCAGGGATGGTTCAGTGGTTAAGAGAACTTACTGATCTTTCAGAGGACCAGAGTTTGGTTCCCAGCACCCATATCAGGCACCCCATAACTGCCTGTAACTCCAGCTTCAGGGGATCTGATGCTCTTCTCCGACCTCCACAGGCATCTATATGCATGTGGTCATACACACAGACCCAAATAAATAAATGATAGATAGATAGATAGATAGATAGATAGATAGATAGATAGATAGATAGATAGATAGATAAAATTTTTTTGAGAAGATAGCAGCCATGGAAGGTTCTGCAGGGTAGAGACTCCAGGAGGCAGGACCAGCTCTGTAAAGACTGCTACAGAGGAGCTAGGTCATGGGAAGAACAGAAAGTAGAGTGAACAAGGAAAAGAAAGGACATGAAGTTGTTGGTGTAGGTAGGAACTACATTTAAGTTGCATAAGCTTCTGTAAAATGTTTGGACCTTATACTATATAGGATGAGATAACCTTTCATCCTATAGGATGAAACAACCTTTGTTGTTTTTTGTTATATTTCAAGACAGGATCTTATTATATAGCCCTAACTGGCCTGGACCTTCTATGTAGACCAGACTGCCTTCAAACTCACAAAATTTCTACCTATGTCTGCTTCCCTTCCCCCATGCTGGAATTAAAGGGGTGCACCAATTGTGCCTGGTCATAACCTTAACTTTTTATGAGTGTTTTGCGTCCATGTATGTAAGTGCACCACATTTGTGCCGGGTACCCATGGAGGCCAGAAGAAGGTGGAGTTAAAGATGGGTTTATCTGCCATATTGGTCCTGGGAACTGAACCTGGGTACCCTGGAGGAGCAGAAGTGTTCTTAACTGCTGAGCTGTCTCTCCATCCCCAAACCTTAACTTTTAAAGAGAATGTAATGTGATTTACATAGAAGTCCTTTTAAATAAAATATTTATTTTATTTTATGTATATGAGTGTATTGCCTGCATTTATATAAGTGCACCCATGTTGTGTAATGCCTGTGAAGCTATGGAGGTCAGAGAGGGCGTTAGACTCCCCTGAAACTAGAGTTATTGGAGGGTTGTTTGCCGCCATGTGGGTGCTGAGAATCAAACCCAGGTCCTCTGAAAGAGCAGCCAGTGCTCCTAACTGCTGAGCCATCTCTCCAGCTCCAAGAAGCCCTCCTCCGACCTCTTTTTGGTCTTTTGTTGAGACAGGATCTCCCTGTAGCCTTAGCTAGCCTGGAACTCACTATTTATACCAGACTGACCTTGAACTCATAGGGATCCCCGAGCCTCTGCCTCCCAAGTGCTGGGATTCAAGGCGTGTGCCACCACACCTGGCAAGAAGTCCTTTTTTTGAGGGAGGCAGATCTCTATGAGATCAAGGCCAGTCTGTTCTACATAGTGAATTCCAGGCCAGCTGGGGCTACAGGGAAACCCTGTCTCAAAAAAAAAAAACCAAAAACAAAAAGAACAACAAAAAATAAGCCCTTTTTGAGCCAAACATGGTGGTGTATACCTATCATTCCAGGACCTTGGAGGTTGGCCAACAAGTTTAAAAGTAGCCTGAACTACGTAGTGACAGTTTCAAAAATGAAATAAAGCTGGGTGTGGTGGCACAGACCTTTAATCCTAGCACATGGGAGGTAGAGGCAGGCGGAAATCTCTGAGAGTGAGACCAGCCTGGTCTACATAGTGAGTTCCAGCCCAGCTGGGGCTACAGGGAGACCTTGTCTTAAAATAAAATAACAAAATAGTAAAATAATCTCACCTTGGCAGCTCTACAGAAATGTTTTTAAGGCCCTGGGAATGGAAGTCGGGTGGTCATTTGGGCAGCTCTTGTAGTAGTGAGAGATGAGAATGGTTCTCCTAGTGTAGAAACAGTAGAGTCAGAAGAGAGAATAAATTCAGACTGTTGGACTTGCTGCTGGGTTAGAGAATGGAGAGCAAAGAGGCTTTTTGTTGACAAGATGATACAACCTACCTGTGTTCAAGATAAGGCAGAAATTCTAATTTCTGAAATAAGACAAGCAGAGTATAAAATACCAGCACACTCCCTTCCCAGTCCAGTACCTCCAAGCAGCTCTGCTACCAAGCATCCATCCCAGATTCTGTCATTCACATGCTGCACAGACACCTCAACTTCAGAGTTGTGGTGCCAAATCTGCTTTGCCAGCCTTATGCCCTATTCTTGGTGAACAACTGCTTCTGTTTAAGGAAATCCACTTTTAATTCCAACTGTGCCATGGTAGGCTACTACCAGAGAGCCTGGCAGCTACTACTCTTTGGTCTTTTCCCTGGGACATTCTTTCTATTTGAGAGAAGATATCCTGGGTATAGTTTATGAGACATAAGGTATGAAAAATGAAGCATGAAGGGCTGGAGGGGCTCAGGGGTTAAGTGCCCATGCTGTTCTTCCAGAAGACCCTGGTTTGATTCCCAGCACCAACATGGTGGCTCTTATCCTTTTCTGGCCTTCACAGGCACTGCACACATACCTGTAAATACCCTGGCAATCAGAACACTTTACAAATAAAAATAGATAAATAACTATTCATTTAAAAAATGAAGCATGAGATTGTTTGGGAAGATGCTAGTCATACATCAATTAGGACAAATAAGTTCAAGAGATCTGTTGTACAATGCATATGTTCTTAAAAATTCTGAGTAGATAGATGTTAAGTGGTCTCACCACATACAAAAAATATGTGAGGACGGGGACTGGAGAGATGGCTCAGTGGTTAAGAGCACTGGCTGCTCTTACAGAGGACCAGTTTGGTTCCCAGCAACCACACAGTGGCTAATAACCATAATTCCAGTTTTAGGGGCTCTGACACCCTCTTCTAGCCTCTGTAAGCATTACACACATGTGATGCACTTACATACATGCAAACAAAACATAAAATAAAAATTAATTTTGGTTTTTTAAAAAATTTTTTTTGTCTTTTTGAGACAGTGTTCCTGTAGCCCCAGCTGGCCCGGAACTCACTATGTAGACCAGACTGGCCTTGAAATCACAGAGATCTGCCTGCCCTAGCCTCCTGTGTGCTAGGATCAAAGGCGTGCACCATTACACCTGGCTGGTTCATTTATTTTTATTTGCATGTATATGTGTGTTTTGCCTGTGTGTGCAATGTTCTCAGAGGTCAGAGGAGGGTACCAGATTCCCTTGGAACTGGAGTTATGGATAGTTGTTAGCTATATGTGGGTGCTGAGACTTGAACCTGGGTCCTCTGGAAGAGCAACCAGTGCTCTTCACCACTGAGCCATCTCCCCAACACTCCCCTAGCAAAAACAAAAATCTTTTTTAATGTGAGATAGTACTTATGTGAATTAGCTTGATTTAGTCAGTCTATAATATGTATGTTTTTTTTTTTTTTTTTTTTTTTTTGGTCTTTTTGGTCTCCCTGTAGCCCCAGCTGTCCTGGAACTCACTATGTAGACCAGGCTGGCTTTGAACTCACAGAGATCCTCCTGCCTCTGCCTCCCAAGTGCTGGAGTTACAGGGGTGCGCCACCACGCCCGGCAATATATATGCATTTTAAAACAGCATGCAGCTTGGTGAGGTGTTACATGCCTTTAATCGTAGCACTTAGGACTAGGCAGAGGCAGGCGAATTTCTGTGCAATATAGGCTAACCTGGTCTACATAGTGAGTTTCAAGCCAGCTGGGCCTACAGGGAGACCTTGTCTCAAAGACAACTACAAAAAAAAAAAAACCAAAGACTTCATGATTCAGAGTCATAGTGATGGCTTGGTGGGTAAAGGTGCCTTCTAAGGCACTAAGCCTGACTGACAACCTGACTTTGATCTCTGGTACCTGTATGGTGGCAGAAGAAAACCAGCTCCTTCAGGTTATCCTGGGACCTCTACTCACATGCTCTAGCACGTGCACATACACATACATACAGATAAATGATAAATGCAAAACAATTTTAAAAAAGAAAAGGCTGGAGAGATGGCTCAGCGATTAAGAGCACTGACTGCTCTTGCAGAGGACGTGGGTTTGAATCCCAGCACCCACATGGTGGCTGGGAACCGTCCTTTACTCCAGTTCCAGGGGAATCTGAAGCCTTCTGACTTCCGTGGCATTGCACGGCATGGGTGCACTCACATGCATGCAGGCATACTCATACACATAAAAATAAATAAGTAAAATATTTAAAAAAGAAGAAAAGACTTTATATAGTTCATCTTCTCCTTGAAGAGTTTTTCTTAATAGCACCTTGGAGACATTTGTGTCTTTTTAAATTCTTTCGGGAATTTTTCCCTGATCTGTGTTTGCTAAGTTGAAGGAAAACAGAAAGATAAATAAAATTAGAGGATATTGTTTTTTCTGTTTTTTTTTGGTCTTTTTGAGACAGGGTCTCCCTGTAGCCCCAGCTGTCCTGGATTTACTATGGAGACCAGGCTGGCTTTGAACTCACAGAGATCCTCCTGCCTCTGCCTCCTGAGTGCTGGTATTAAAGGCGTGCGCCACCACCCCTGGCTAAAATTAAAGGATGTTTTTATTAAGCAACTTTTATGTGTGTGGCTCCATGCTAAGCACTTTATGTACATGGTTACTAAATCCTTGTAGCAGCCCTCTCTGACTTGCCCAAGCTCACACAGCTTGCAGGTGGTAGGATCAGAACTTAACCCCAGGGTCTAGCTCCTGTGCTTCTGTTACCAGCACTGAACTGCATTTCCTCCTCTCTTGTGTCTGTCTTTCAGGTAGATGGGAAGTTGCTGTGCTGGCTGTGCACACTCTCATATAAGCGTGTCCTTCAGAAAACCAAAGAGCAGAGGAAACACCTGAGCAGTTCTCGTGCCAGCCATCAGGAGAAGGAGCAGTACAGCCGCCTAAGTGCTGGCAGCCACTATAATAGGTAACTCGGGCACATGTGAGGACGAGAGGTGCCATTAGACAAGAAGTTTTCCTACTCTCACTCCAGTTCCTAGCCTGGGGGAAGTATTTTGCTTGCCATATTTTATAGTTCTCTATCTTCCAAGGGTCAGAGAGATTCCTGCAAGGTCCTAGAATTTCCTGGCTTTGTGTTGTGTCTTAATGTTCTGTGGAGTTTTCACCTTTATTGAGGGCAATCTCTCTAGATGAGACATTTTGCTTCCTGGCTGGATACAGCTTTTTAAATATATATTTGGCCAAATAGTTGATAGGTGTTCTAGAGTTTTTCAGGGTGAGTGGGAGTCATTCAGAGGATGTCCTTTCATTGATATCTGAAGCTTCCTTTCAGAGTATCTATAATTATGTTGAAAATCGGAGCTGTAAGCTGGGCATGTTGGTGCATACCTTTAGTTCCAGCACTCAGGAGGCATAGGCAGGCAGATCTCTGTGAGTTCAAGGCCAGCCTGGTCTACATAGTGAGTTCCAGGACGGCTGGGGCTACAGGGAGACCCTGTCTCAAAAAAATAAAATAAAGTAAAAAATAAAAGGAAAATTGGGACTTTAGATCTAATCCTATCTCTACCAAGATTTCTGTGGGAATAACGGGCAAGTTTTAATAGTATCACCTCATGGGGTTGTTGTGAAGGGAAATTTATAATACATGAAGAGCCATTTGTTTTGTAACTGGCATCTAGACAGTATCCAATACATTTTAGCTATTTTTTGTTGTTACTATCATTATGTGTTTGTTTATTCATGAGGCATTATTAAGTACTCTCATGGGCCAGGGACTCTGCTGGGAATACAGAGATGAATAAGAGCCATGCTGCTCTCCAAAAGCATGCCGGCTGATAGAGAAGACAGACCTGTAATCAAATCATTGCAGTTTAATGCAGTGGGCATCACACTGGAAACTTGTCAAGATAGAGGCATGAGAAGCAGAAGCAATTAACAACCTAGGAAGTTGGGGAAGGTTGGCTTGGAAAAGAGCTTGGGATGAGTTGGAATTGTCAGATGAAGACCAGGCAGAGATATCCTAGTAGTGAGAATAGCATTTACAAAGGACCAGAGGGCGTGGGATCACACAGAATCTGAGAGAACTTAAGACCTGTTACATTGCTGGAACCTGTGGTTAGAAGCTGGAGAATGGGAGGAAGAAAGCCCTGCACACCTGGTAAGGAGTTAAGGGGAAGCCACTGACGTCATCCGTGTAAGGGATGGACCAAGTTTCGTCTCTGTTAGCACTAATTAGCCCTGACTATAAAGAAGGCACTGAAGGAAGAGGGTTTGAAGGCTGGGGATGTAGCCCAGTGCAGAGGGGCTTGCCCAGTGTTTGCAAGGCCCTGAGTTTGTCCCTAGCACCACAAAATAACAACAAACAAAAAAACTTCCTTCGCCTGGCATGGTGGTACATGCCTTTGATCCCAGCACTTGGGAGGCAGAGGCAGGCGGATCTCTGTGAGTTCAAGGCCAGCCTGGTCTACATAGTGAGTTCCAGGCCAGGTGGTGCTACAGGAGACCCTGTTTAAAAAAAAAAAAGACCTACTTCATACTTCTTCCGATCTTGGAAAATTATATAGCTTCTCATTTTGTAAGAGTACAGGTAAGATAAGAAATGTTATAAAAACCTCCTGAGGGACTCAGTGATTAAGAGCACTGACTGCTCTTGCAGAGGACCTGGGTTCAATTCCCAGCACCCACATGGCAGCTAAAAACGCTCCATAACTTCATTCCAGGGGATCTGACACTCTCTTCTGACCTCCACAGGCATTACACAACATGGGTGCACTTACATACATGCAGGCAATACACTCATAACATAAAATAAAAATAATAAAATATTAAAGAAAAAAAAACCCTCCTGAGCCAGGCAGTGATAGTGCAGGCCTGTGATCCCAGAATTCTGGAGGTGAAGGAGTCCAGGGCCAACCTGAGCTACGTGAAACCCTTCTTCTCCCATCTGCACCCCCCCCCCCAAAAAAAAAAGCCTGCCCCTAGGTACTGGCATTTTAGAAGGTACTTCAGGGTATGGGAGAGAAGATCAAGAGAAGAGAAAGGTCCAAGAAGGATAGAGCCATCAGTGGAATCACACTGAAGAGAGGTCAAGGAAGGAAAGGCGTGGAAGATGTTTGGGTGTGGCAGTTGGACAATCTATCAGAGTGAAAGGGTTTCATACCAGGGATAGGCCTCCAGGTTTTGTGTGACCTTACTGAGTCTAAAACTGATTTTATTTGGCAAAGCTTCGTGGCACACACCTTTAATCCCAGCACTCGGGAGGCAAAGGCAGGTGGGTGGAGTTCAAGGCTAGCCTGGACTACATAGTGAGCTCCAGGCCAGCTGAGGCTATAGGGAGACCCTGACTCAAGAAAAGGCAAAAAACAAACTGAAAAACTGATTTTATTGTCGGACTCACAACTCACATACAAACTAGATTCACAGAAATATAGTGAGGATCTTGAAGAGTTCAAATATGCTCACTTGGTTTCTAGTTACAGCTTTACTACTAACCAGCTGTATATCTGTGGGTAGGTCAGGTGACCTTGATGAACCCAGTTTCTGCGAGGTAGACATAATAACTCGGCTGGACTTGCCAAACTGAAATGGAAGCTGTGTGTGAGACAGTAAATGTAAAAGTACTTTTTTAAATGTACAGATTATACCTCATTGATACTTTGTCAGTTTTGCTTCATAGTTATTAATAAACCAGATAATGTTTAATTAAAGCCAAAATGGGTTTTGGTTCTGTGGAAATTAGCTACCTGTGCATCCAAGATCTACAAGACTACCTTGGTAGATTTTAATTGTCAAAATTAATGAGCTCTTGGAGCTAGAGAGCTGGCTCAGTGATTAAGAGCACTGACTGCTCTTGCAGAGGACCTGGTTTCAGTTCCTAGCACCCACGAGCCAGCTAACAACCATCCGTAACTCCAGTTCCCAAGGATCCGACACCCACTTCTGACCTCCATGGGTATTGTATAATACAGGTGTACTTACATCTTATAGGCAAAACACTCATACACATAAAATAATTAATAATAATAATAATAATAATGAGCTCTTGCTCAGAAGAGCTAATGTCTTACACTGATCCATTTGACAGATTTTTGTCATATTTTATTAATCTTTGATTTCTAATGTGTGTCTCTTTATTTTTTACCATTAAAAGCCAGAAAACGCTTTCTACATCTTCACTTCAAAATGAAATCCCAAAGAAAAAATCCAAGTTTGAGTCAATCACAACTAATGGAGACAGGTGAGCCAGTTGGAGTATGTGTGCACATACATTTGAAATGCATACAGAGTTCTTGAAACAGGAATGCACTTTAGAGTATACCTTGGAGGTAGCCTGTGACTGGAGTGAACGTGTTACTGGTGCTTTGATAGTTGATAAGTACTGATATGCTTATCAATTGAATTGTTATTAAAAAATATAAGAATTTGTTGGGCATGGTGGCTCATACTTGTAATCCCAGAACTTGGGATATCGAGGCAGTAAGTTCAAAGCCAGACTGATCTAAATAGATTGTTCCAGGCCAGCCGGAACTAGTGAGACCCTGCCTTGAACAAAGAAAAAAAAAAATCTTAAGACCTTGTAACTGGACCTTGTAACTTTGTTAATAGCAGTTGAATTCTGCAGTCCACTAAATAAATCTTGCACAGTGATTCTAAGAAGTAGAGACTGTGAGGGGACCAGAGAGAGATAGCTCAGCAGTTAAGAGCACTGGCTGCTTTCGCAAAGGACCCAGGTTTGAATCCCAGCACCCACATGGTGGCTAACAACCATCTGTAACTCCAGTGCCAGGGGAACCAGTGCCCTCTTCTGACCTCCATGGGCCTGTCAACAGGTGCACTTACATACATGCAGACAATATACTCATGCACATAAAACTGAAAAGAGAAAAAAATGTAGAGACCTGAATGTTTTTTCTGTGAGGTCTGTGCCTGCAGCCCTCCGCACGCAGGGCAAGAGTTAGTTTGGAGAGGCAGAGCAGAGGAAGGTGGGGTTAGGGCAATGTTGCTGTCTATCAGGATATTCCAAGCTGCTTTAGCATTCAGAAAGCCAGCATAGTGCAGATGCTGGACCGGGAGAGAATAAGATGCAACTCATTATTTTTGATTCATTTCTAGCCTGCCTAAAAGCATATTTTTATTCCTCGCTTTCCTCTCTCCTTCTCAGCGATGCTTCCTCTCATGAGCTGCTTTGTCCTAATATCCAGAGCCCGTCTGTGTTGGTGCAGTGGGCTGCTTCCCAACAGAGTCTTGGAACCAACCATTTTCCTGTTCCTCCAGGCCCAGGCATCCTGAAGTGAGACCACCTGACACACTTCCCTAAAGTCCTTGGAATCTTCTCCATTCTGAAAACTCGCATTCACAGCTCTCCCAGCCAGTGGTGGACATGGGAGCAACCAGCATAGAGGTTTACCAGGGCTGATTTTTTTTTTTTTTTCAAATTTCACAGAATATCAAGCATCTGCGAAGTTTATTCTTTCCCATTGCCTTTTTTATTTATTTGATTACTTGATTTCAGATCCTACCAAGGTGTATCTTTTTAATTAGTTTAGTTTTTAACTCTTTTTTTTCTCTCTGGTCTTTTTGAGACAGGGTCTCCCTGTAGCCCTAGCTGACCTGGAACTCACTATGTAGACCAGGCTGGCCTGGATTTCACAGAGCTTCCTGCCTCTGCCTCCCGGATGCTGGGAAGGTAAAGGCGCGGACCACCACACTTGGCTAGTCTCCTTTTATCCCTTACCTTTCCCTATTGTAGACAGAAAAATTATCTTAGCTTTCCCTAATGGTTTGATACTTAGAAGGTGACTTAGTCTTTTTGTTTTTCAGTAATCTACAAAAGCCACAGACTTGCTTTCAATATTTTCTAATTTGCTAGGTGAAATTGTAATAAATATTTTCCAATTTGAGAAAAATGTTACTGTCTAGTTTTCCTTCCTTGAGAAAGTACACCAGTGCCTTCTCATCTCTGTTAACTGCTCCATAGGAAGTTTACAAACCATATCAGCAGTGGGCTAGGCCAGCACATGTGGTTTGTCCTTTCTAAAGGACTTTCTTTTCCTTTTAATTTCATTTTATTCTCCTCTTGAAATGTTCCCGAAAAATTAGGCTTCTATGTGGTTGTTGGGAACAGCCTCAGGACCAGTGGACTGGGTTTATAGAGGAAGCTGCTTTTGACTCAGCCCAAGGAAAACAGTTGTTTTTGAGATAGAATCTTGTGTAGTACAAGCTGGCCTTGAATTTTCAATCCCCTGCTTGAGCCTCCTGTGTATGAAAACTGTTCCTGTATTGAAAAGCCTTTAGAAAAGGCAAGAAATTTCCTGGAGAGGTAGTAGGTGTTTGGAGGTATTTGGGGGACTGGCTTTTCTGCCTTGCCAACTAGTTGTCTTTTTTTATTTCTGCTATTTATTGAGCTAGGAGTCAGAGTCAGAGAAATCAGGCTCTGAATACGGTATAGGCAGGGCTGGTTTGGTCAACAACAATTGATACAAGAATAATTTCCAGGGTGGGGGCTGTAGCTCAATGGTAGATCACCTGCCCTACTTGTCTCACTTGCATGAGACCCTGGATTCAATCCCCATTTCTGCCAAACAACAAGAGTCATCATCATTATCTCCCAAGAAGCAGGTAGAGCAAAGCATTAGGAGCTTTTGGGACAATGAAAAGTTGCACAAGCTCAATCAGTACTCTTTCCTTGATTGTTGTAGTTACAGATTTAAATAGACTCTGTTGAGTTGAGGGAAGACATGTCCTGGTGGGTATTGAAACAGATACAAGGAAGCTTCTAGATATGAAATTGGAGGAAATTGTAATAGACCCTTTCATTACCCTTGTCCTGCACGCCTTGTTTTATTTGCATACTCTTTTTCTTAAGGTTTATTTTTATTATGTGCATGTCTCTATGTGTGTATGCTGTGTATGTGGAGGTACCCATGGAGACCAGAAGAGGGCCCATCTCCTCTGGAGCTGGAGTTAAGAGGTGGCTGTGAGCTGCCCTAAATGGGTGCTGAGAACCAAACTTGGGTCCTCTGGAAGAGCAGTATGTGCTGCTAGCCACTGAGCCATCTTCCTGGCTCTGCACTTACTCTTGCCTTTTCTGTGCTCCTGCACATTCATCAGTTAGGAAAGCCTCAGTCCATTCTTTTCATATAGACGTTCTTTTCATATAGACAGGGTGGGGACAATATTATCAAATGGGAGTGTCTTCTGATTCTAGCCATAGAAGTATTTGGCTTAGCAATTAGGAGGAAGTGTCACCAGTAGTAAGGCTCTCTGGAATTTCTTCTGTGTAATGAAATGCTGGTCACTAGGTGTGGTTTAGGATTCAGGAAAGGAGGATCTGCAAGGGGAACTACGGAGTTGTTGCTCTGTTGACACAGCTTGGGATAGTCCAGAGTCTGTTTAAAGGGAAGAAAAAAAAAAAAAAGACCCAGATTTGTGTTTTACTTTAAAGAATGTCCTGAGGACATGTACTCTGGAGGCAGAGGCAGGTGGATCTCTGAGTTCAAGGCCAGCCTGGTCTACATAGTAAATTCCAGGTCAGCCTGGGCTACAGGGAGACCCTGTTTCAAAAAGACCAAAAATAAATAAATATTGTCCTAAGAGAAGTAAAGGACTTCCTTTGGGAATTATCTGGAGAAGGGCAGAAGGTGACCTTCTGGCAGTAATCCTTGTCTTGGGTCTGAGGGCACCTCTCAACAGTCATTGAAACCTGCAGGTCCCCACCCAGGAATGCCTGTTGTATGTATAGAACAGATTCTACATACAATACCAATGACTTACAGATTCTTTGAAATGGGACTGCTTAGGTAACTCTGCTAAAAGGACAGAAGACTTATCCATTACATTGACAAAATGGAGGCTGTGCTAGACAGCTTCAGTTGTCAACTTGATACACCAGGGAAGAAGGAACCTCAGTTGGGGGAATTTCCTCTATTGGTTTGGCCTATGAACATGTCTGTGAGGCATTTTCTTCATCATTGAGTGATATAGAAGGGCCCAGCCCACTATGGGCACTAAACAACCCTGGGCTGGCGATCCTGAGTTGTATAAGAAAACAGGCTGAGCATAGGCCAGTGAGCAAGCCAGTAAGCAGTGTTCCTCCTTGGTCTCTGCTTCAGCACCTGCCTCCAGGTTCCTGCTTGGAATTCCTGCCTTGGTGTCCCTCAAAGATGGACTGTGATCAGGATGTGTAAGCCAGATAAAATCTTTTCCTTCCAAAGTTGGTTTGGGTGAGAATGTTTTATCACAGCAATAGAAAACTAACTAGGACAGAGACATTATGGACAATTATAGAAAGCCTGGCATGTGGTGTAACAGTTTGCCATCCTTTGCTCCCTTCTCCACTAAGTGTCACAGAATACTCTGTTGTTGTTTGAGACAAGGTCTCATACTGTAGCCCAGACTGTCCTGGAATTTACTATATAGCCCAAGCTGGCCTCAAACTTACAGCAGTCCTCCTGCCTCAGCCTCCTGAAAGCTGAGATTACAGGTGTGAGCAGCTGCACCCAGCTCCCCTCCCCCTAAATTCTTGATAAAGGGAATGATAATCTGTAAGCCAGTAGCTGCAGAGGAAAACCTGGTTTCCTTTCCATAAAATCTCTTTTAAGAGAGGACTGAATATCCCTAGGGTGCAAAACAGTAGTTTCTTAGGAGCTGTACCTCATCACAGGGCTATGCAGAGCATAAGCTTATAATTGGTAACCTATCCAAAGGATTCTACATCATCACAAATATGCCTGTTTCAGCATTTGGAAGCATTTGGAATCTTTAATGAATCTGAAACACTATCCTTGGCTCTTGAGAGGTGATATTTATTTTGGTCTCAAATGTAAGAGAAGATGCTGCAGGAGGCTGTGTGTGGTTTGGGTTGGCATTGTTTTCTGATGGCCACCTTACCTGTGCAGTTCAATTTCAGCAAATACTGTCTTGTGTGTATAGAGCAATGCGCTTGATGGTGGGAATTCAAATAGTTACTTACGCCCCTGAGTTCCTGGAATGTACCCTTAAGTTTTATGTCCAACTTACGAGATTTTTCTACTCAGCTTTTCCCCAGACTTGGCTCTGGACTCGCCAGGCACTGACCACTTTGTCATCATTGCCCAACTGAAGGAAGAAGTGGCTACTCTGAAGAAGATGCTGCATCAAAAGGATCAGATGATCCTAGAGAAAGAGAAGAAGGTATGATTTAACACCTTTCAGGCCAGAATGATGCAAGATTAAGATGCATGGATGAGATATGGTGCTTGCAGTCTTTGACCAAGTTAACAGACATAATGTGTAAAATCCAGCTGAGGATGTAGCTCAGTAGCAAAATACCTGTCAGTGTACACCAAGCAGGCCTTGGCATCAATCCTCAGCAGCACACACAAAAAACAGTGTGAGCTCTTATGGAAGGTTACCATCTCAGTACTGAATCAGTTGTCAGATGTGTTAATTGCACACCTATAGTCCCAGTTGTCAAGGTAGGCAAGAAGGATGGTGAATTCTAGACCAGCCTGGACTATATAGTAAGACTCTGTCTCAAAAACAAACATATAAAAAGGACAAGATGCTGTGTGAGCCTGGAATTGGGATGTGAAATGGTAATTCTATAATTGAAATGGGTTGCTGTCACATTGTTTCATTTCAAGTAGCTCTGGCTATCTTAGCACTCCCTGTGTAGACCAAACTGGTCTTGAACTAAGAGATCTGCCTGCCTCTGCCTTTCAAGTGTACCACCCTGCTGGGCTTATAATCGAAATGTTTAATGCTCCCAGGCTAAAAGAACCTGATGCCCACATCTCCTTCCTCCATGGTGTGTTCAAGTGGACCTTTCTGTATTTTTTGTTTTTAGGGTGTTCCCCCCCCCACACACAAGGTTACTCTTAAAAATTCATATTTTGGGGACTGGTGAGATAGCTAAATGGCTAAGAACAGTGGCTGCTCTTGCAGAAGACCTGGGTTTGGTTCTCAGCACCCAAATGGCAGTTAATGACAGTCCGTAACTCCAGATCCAAGGGATGTGATGCTCTCTTCTGGTTTCCACAGGCATTGCATACACATGTGCACTTATATACATGTATGCAAAACACTCATACACATAAAAGTGGGGGTTGGTTTTGTTTATTTGAAACAGGGTCTCATTATTTAGCCCTGGTTGGCCTGGAACTTGCTCTGTAGAGCTGGCCTTGAAGTCAGATCCATCTGCCCTGCCTTTTCAGAGTGCTAAACATAAAGGGCTGCATCACCATGCCAAGCAAGATTCTTATTTTTGACTAAACTCAGATTTAGAAGTAGGAGCTTTCATCATAGTCTGCATCTCAAAAGTGTAGAATGGCTCACAAATTTGCATGTCACCCTTTTTTTTTTTTTTTCAATGTGTATGACTATATTGCCTGCATGTAAGTACACTCCTGTCATGCAATGCCCACGGGGGTGAGAAGAAGGCATCAGATTCCCCTGAACTGAAGTTACAGATAGTTATTAGCCACCATGTGAGTGCTTGGAATCAAACCCATGTCCTCTGCAAGAGCAGCCAATGCTCTTAACTGCCGAGCCATCTCTCCAGTCCCAGCTCTATGACTTCCTCTTTTTTTTTTTGTCTTTTTGACAGTTGCAGCTAGCCAGGAACTTCCTGTGTTCACAGAGATCTGCCTGCCTCCGCCTCCTAAGGGCTGGGTTTAAAGGTGTGTGGCACCGTGCCCAGCTCTACTTGACCCTTTCTAAATCTCAGATTTGTAATCTGTAAAGTGAAAATATGACTCCTACAGGGCTGCGGAGGTCGGAAGAGGGTGTTGGGTCCCTTGGAACTGGAGTTATGGATGGTTGTTTGCTACCATGTGGGTGCTGGGAATTGAACTCAGGTTTTCTGCAAGAGCAGCTAGTACTCTTGACTGACTACTGAGCGAATTCTCCAGTCCTTAATTTAAAACACAACACATACACACACACCCACAAATAATAGGTCCATTGAGATGGCTCAGTGGGGAAAGCTCTGGCAAAAAAGCCTGACAACCTGAGTTTGATCCCATGTATCGGTATCGATGTAAAAGTAGAAGAACATCACGGTCCACAAAGTTCTCCTTTGACTTTCACACATGCTGTGTCACACACATGTCCACACATCAGATACACAAATAATAAACAAAATGTTAAAGATTATAAAAGATTGAATGAGGCAGTAAAACCAGTTTTTTGGAATTGAAAGCAGTGCTTAACTCTCAAGGGTCCTCTCAAACCCAGTCATTTCGACTTTTTATTTGTACCTGAGCATTTGGAAGGTTGTAGGCATATATTAAACACAAAAAATGTCTTTTTTTTTTTTTTTTTTTGTCTTTTTGAGACAGGGTCTCCCTTTAGCCCCAGCTAGCCTAGAACTTAATATATAGACCAGATTGGCCTTGAACGCACAGAGATCCACTTACCTCTGCCTCTCAAGTGCTGGGACTAAAGGTATGTACCACCACTCCCGGCACAAAAAAAAAAATCTTAAAAACTTAGTAGGAATTTAAGTATCAGAAGTTTTTTGCTACTGTTGTTTTTTGAGACAATTGTCTCACTATAATATAGCCCAGGCTGCTCTTGAACTGGAGGCAGCCCTACTACCTTAGCCTCTTGAGTGCTGGGATTACAACCATGTACCACTGTGACGAGACAGAAATGTTAATTCAGAGCAGGGAGGTGGTGTATATCTGCAGTCCCATCTGCTTGGGAAACTGTTGCAGGAGGGTGTCTTGAGCCCAGGACTTGGGGGATAAGCCTGGATAATGAACCTATCAGAAAGGAGGGCAGGGAAGAAGAAGGGGAGGAGGGGGAGGGAAATGGTAGCTCAGGAGTGTGAGTCTTCAGGAAAGCTTTTAAAAATAGGCTTTGGCAGAACAAAAAAAAAAAAAGATTAAAAAAAATAATAATAAGTTGGGTGTGGTGGTGCATGCCTTTAGTCCCAGCACTGGGGAGGCAGAGGCAGGCAGATCTCTGTGAGTTTAAGGTGAGCCTGGTCTACATAGTGAGTTCCAGGCCAGCTATAGGGAGACCTTGTCTCAAAAAATAAAAGACCAAGCTGGGCATGGTGGCACATGCCTTTAATCCCAGCACTCAGGAGGCAGAGGCAGGCAGATCTCTGTGAATTCAAGGCCAGCCTGGTCTACATAGTGAGTTCCAGGACAGCTGGGGCTACAGAGAGACCTTGTCTCAAAAAGACCAAAAAATAAATAAATACATAAATACATAAATAACAAGATAAAAAAGGGTTTCATAGGTATGGATCATCAGGAGAGCCACAGATTCCATTAATTTGGAAGGCATCTAGCTGTCTAATACTAAAACAATCATTACGAAGAAGTTTCTTCTGATCATGCTGCTCTTTTCCTTCAGATTACAGAGCTGAAGGCTGATTTTCAGTACCAGGAATCCCAGATGAGGGCCAAAATGAACCAGATGGAGAAAGCCCACAAAGAAGCCACAGAGCAATTGCAGGTGATTCTTCTGTGGCAACCTGTGTGCTCGGCTGATTGCATTTTAAGTAATCCTCTCAGATTATTTTTCTCTAATTTTTGGATAAGTTTTTGTCTTTTTCTCTCAAAAAACTGGAATTAACAAATGTGCTTTTTGACTTTTTTTTTTTTTTTTTTAATATACGAGATGTGAGTCCAGATGTCTGAATTATAGATTCTGCTTACCGCACTCATTAAGGCACTCTGTGGTTTGTCTGTGTTGCACAAATCATCTTTTGGGGTTTTTTTGTTTTGTTTTGTTTTGGTTTTGGTTTGTTTTTTTTTTTTTTTTTGGTCTTTCGAGACAGGGTCTCCCTGTAGCCCCAGCTGGCCTGGAACTCACTATGTAGACCAGGCTGGCCTCAAACCTAGCCTTGAACTCACAATCATCTTTTTGTAACAATGACTCTGAAGAGAGCCAGGCTCACCAGTTCACTTCTAGAAACACTTTCTTACTTGAGCCGTCAAGCCTCAGAATTTCTGTTTCCTGTTTCTTAAATAGCTCTTTGCTTCCTGACCTTACATTGTCTTTATCTGCATGGAAAACCTACTATCAATTGTCATTATCTGTTAAACTTTTTTTTTCCTGGAAAGCATTTCCTAGACTGTTAAAACCCTTCTTGCACTGATTTTTTTTATTTTTTAAGGCCAAAAACCGAGAGCTCCTGAAGCAGGCAGCCGCCTTGTCCAAGAGCAAGAAATCTGAGAAGTCAGGCGCTATAACCTCTCCATGACAGACCAAAGGAGGCTCCCAGCAACAGCAGACAGTTGTTCTGGGTTAGGGTTGGCGCTAGCTGTTCTCTGGGAATTGCAAGGTTTCTTACAAAATCTCTATTTTATTATAATTATCCTCCTTCGGTCGAATGTAGTGGGCTGAGTGAGAACATCTGGTTGTGGTGTGTTAAGACTGCATGCTGAGTGTTTGGGGTTTCAGGCCAGTTCTTCCCTCTCTTCCTTATCTTCCCTCATCTTCCTCTTCACTCCTTTTCTCCTGTTCTAGCCTCCTCCTCTTCCTCTCCTCCCTCCCTCTACTCCCTCTGTCTCTTTTGGTACTCTGTTTTCTGTGGTGGTCACTGCTTAGTGTTGTGTGCAGAATGTTTTCTCTCCATCGTTGCATCCTGCCATACCCATGAACAGTCTGGCATCAACTGTGTCTCACTGCCACCCTCTGAACTTTGAAAACTGCCACCTTAAGACTGTACAGGGAGAGAGGCTTTCTCTCTCCAATAAATCTCTGCTTCAGGGTGTACTCTTGGGTTTTTTCCAGGTGTATTATGTACGAACTTTGTACTATATAGACAGAGTTTTATTTATTTTTTAAAAAAAGGAAACTTTTTCTTGATAAAGGAATAATGGTAGCCTAGCTAATTCTTGTAAATGCGATCCCTCTTGGAAAAATAAAACAAAATCAGTCCTGTTTGCTAGCTTTTAGTAAAGAATCGGGTCTTTTCTTTGTTGTTACCTTGGAGTCTTAAAAACTGATTGCTAAGGTAAAGTGTTTGATGTGTAAGGATGGAGTTAAGTGCCTTTTGGAGGATTTTGTGGAAACGTTTGAGGAGAGACTGAGGAAGGTTGCAAAGATTTGAACAATCTGTCCTTTTAAATGAGGGCAGAAAGAAAGGTTGTCCAGGTTGTACTGGACACTGCCTCCTCTACCCTCCTTGTTCTTTTCTGCAACTGATTTTAAATTCCCACACTGCCACTTTTTGTAAAATGCGTGCCCTTCTCTTGCTTATGCCAGCTGTCATGTCAGGCCGTTGTCAGAACACGTTTTTTTTTTTTACAGGAGCAGATTCAATTGAGATAATATGAACTCTAGAGCGCTTCTTGGGGTTAGTATGGGCTGCTCAGGTGCAGGCTGAAAGCTAACTGGGGGAAGCATCACTGTGCTTTCTTCCCACTCCTTGCCCTGCCCTGTGCACTCCCTGCTTTAATGGAAATGTTTAGGAAACAAGCACTTCTTGAAAGTGGCTGGGCCAGCGTTGTATGGAACCTGTTGACCTGTAGGCACATGGAAAGGGGCATAAGTTCGCATTGCTCTCTGCACTGTCCACGGGATATTTACGAAAGAAACTAGAGACGTGTGATATCTGCCATGGCACAGGACAAAACTACCCTGAAATCATTCATGCAGGCAGGTACTGAGTTACGAGCTATCATGAAGGCAGGTGACATTTGTACCTCAGGCCTCTGACACTGTAACAGTCACTTCACCTTGTTAGAAGCAAACGGTCTGTAATTGGTGATTGTTCTCAGAAGAGGAGCCGCACAGAGTTGGACAGAGGCGGCAGTGAGGGGCTTCTCCCTGATAGGAGATATGATGGACCATGTTGCTTATATATTACCCCAGTTTGGGATGTCATTTTCCCTTCTCAGCAAGGGAAGCTGCCGTGCTAAATAGTTTTGTAACTTTTTGAATGAGAAACTTTTAGGTAAAGATAAACTGTTACAATATTTTTCAGATGCATTTGTGTTGGCTATGGGAAAAGATGGTAGAAAAAAACAAGTCATGGTTTTTGAAAAAAAAATTTAAAGACTGAGAAATTCTGTTAAATGTGACAATATAAAAACATTCATTTAGTTTTATACTAAATCTTTTTTTAAGGTCTTCAGCATTTAATATAAAGCAAACCCACACGTTTTCTAACTTTACCATGCATTCCTAAATGGGAAAGAAGAACCCTCAGTCTTGAAATTTTGATTTAAAAAAAAAAATCATGATAGCGTTTCACCGTGAAATTGAGTAGCTAACTTTTGGTAACACCTTTTGTTTCTTTGTATGTTTGTAATAATGGACATTTTAAAATACAGGAATGTTTTGGTTTGTACAGACTTTGACAATGTGTGTTAATAAAAATTCATATTGACTCAAGTATAATTGCTGGGTTTTGACTTTTTTTCCCTTTCCCCTCCCCTCCTCTCCTCTCCTCTCCCCTTTTTTTCTTTTCTGTGCTGTGGATGGAACCCAGGGTCTTGCTCATCCTAGGCCAGCACCAAACCACTGAGCTACATGTGTTTATTTCTTGCTGGTTCACCAATACACATATCCCACACTCCCCTTGAACTCTAAAAATAGTTTTTCTTGCTTATAGACCAATAAGGAATTTCAAGTCAGGAATTACAGAGTGTTATTACTGCAGGACAAGTTTCCCTAAACTTTAATGATTTAAATTTTAATATGCCTAAATATCCTGTTAGTGGATAGTTTAGGTCAAGGACAGGAATTTTTCTGTTCTACAATATCTGGGTTCTCAGGAAGACTGGAAGTTGATGGGGCAGGAATCATCTCTGAAGGCTGTTCACTGGGTCAAGAGCTCCTGGGTAGCAGTCTGGCAGTGCTGACCAGGTCACTTGTGCTCTCTGTAATTTAGTGTTCCCTCGCTTGGCCTCAAGGTAATCAGACTTCTTATGCAGCTCCTGAAGACTTCATGCACCAGCGAACAGAATGGAAGCTGCGTTCCATCTCACCTGCGCCAGAGGTCACACACCCTCACCACCACTCCTTGTCAAAGCAGTCAGAGGCCCAGGCAGACCTGAGAAGAGGACATACAGATCTTTTCAATGATAATTTAGTGTCAATAGCCTGTGGGACGGAAGCTATTGTGACTATCGTAAAATATGATCTGCCACAAGGAGTAGATTTTGAAACAACCAGATCCACAAGAGTAAGGCAGAAGCTGCAGTGTCTGTCCTTCCCACAAGATTTCCCCATCTTTCCTCCAGTATTCCATTGGTTGCAGAGGTCAGATTACCACCACTATTAATAGAGAGTGGGAGGGGATTACCCACATGTATTCAACCCAAGGAGCAAGAGCCACTAGTGTCCACCTTGAGATGGCTGACACACTGACATTGGCTTATAACATTGTTACTGTGTGGACTTGGGATCTGAAGGCAGCAATGAAAATTGACATTTTTGAAAGTTGTTCATATTTTTTAGTTATCACTAGGATCAGTGACTTCTTTACTTAGCCATTATGAGGTTTCCCTGCAGATTTTCAGTCTTATTTGAAAACAGGTTATGCTAGGATAATAACGTCCTTGTAATCCCAGCACTCTGAAAGTAAAGTAAGACAGGAGGATCAGGAATCTGAGGCCAGCCTGTGCTATATAGAACCTGTCTAAAAAAAAACACAATCACCTACAACAAAACTATGGTGCGCAGTGAAGTTAGACTACCTGCTTTTGAATCTTCTCTGTTAACCTTAAGATTGTAGTGAGGGGCTAGAGAGATGGCTCATCAGTTAAGAGCACTGGCTGCTCTTGCAGATGGCCCAGATTCAGTTCCCAGCACCCACATGGCAGCTAACAACCATCTGAAACTCCAGTTCCAGGGGCTACAACGCTCTCCTGACCTTCGTGGGTATTGTATGACATGGGTACACTTAGGTACAGGCAGGCAATACACTCAAAACACAAAATAATAAAAAAAGATTGGAGGGAGGATTAAATAATACATAGAGAAACCATGAGGACAATGCTTGAAACAGTTTGCATTCTGTGGAAGTTGTTAGTACTCATGATTCCATTTTTTTATTTTTTATCTATTTATTTTTGTCTTTTTGAGACAAAGTCTCCCTGTAGCCCCAGCTGTCCTATGTAGACCAGGCTGGCCTTGAACTCACAGAGATCCGTCTGCATCCACCTCCAGAATGCTGGGATTAAAGGTATGTGCTACCATGCCTGGCATGCTTCTGTTTATGTATGTATTTGACCTGTATGTATGTAATTTGCACCATATGTGTGTGGTACCCACAAAGGCCAGAAGAGGCTGTCAGGTCTCCTGAAACTGGAGTTATGGACAGTTGTTAGCCATAAAGTGAGTGCTGGGAACCCAACCCCAGTCCTCTGAAAGAGCAGCCAGTGCTCATAACCACTGAGCCATTGCTCCAGCCCTGTTTTCTCTTTCTTGAGAGGGAAGATGATAGAAGGAAAAATTAGAATGAACCTGCCCTCCCACCTGACAACTCCCTCCTCCTCCTCCTCCTCCTCCT